ATCAATATAAAATCCGGATTGAAAACCATTAGTTTTTTTTTTTTTCCCCTATTACCATTTTCCAAACGTTCACCTTTTTTTTTGTTTACATCTTCCAAACGTTCACTTTTCCTGGTAGTATAAAATTGATATTGGTATAAAACTGAATGACATTGTAGTATACAATCGTTGTTTCCATGATAATGATACATGACATTGATATTATAAGACAAATAACATGGGATAAACTACTACGGTTCTGAAGAGTGCTTACTTTTGTACAAAGGGAAGGTTGGGAACTAAAGGATTTTGTTTATCTGAGAGTTGGAATCTCATCTTTAAACATGTTCATGAGAAGAATCAATGAGAGGTTCGTTTGATTCCTGACCAGCTTCCACAGATTTTTTTGATGCTTTCTTCTCTGGGTATAACACATAGTGTTGAAACATGAAGAGGATATCGAAAAATACGGAGATCTGTAAAAAAGTTACCAGAGAGATTTGATTAGAGACAGAGAGAAGAACATTCAAAGGAAAAAATTGAAAAACTCGGTTTTTTCTTACGAGTGATAGAAGAGTCTTTCCAATGTTTCCATAGAAATTCACCCAAGAATCTGGAAGGAACCAAAAAAAGAAGACAAGTTTTAGTTTTTGTGTTCCAAATGTTATCAGAGTAAACAAAGGGTAATGATATGGTAAAGAAGAGATTGTTACTTTGGTCAATAGATTGTATAACCATTTGCATATAATTAGCGAGTCCTCCAGCAAAATCGAGCAATATATTCCCGATACTCCACCCGACTGTGCTCTTCCTAGTGAAGTTCATCTTTGCCTGTGGAATGTACTTGACACATGTCATGACGACCTGAATCGAGCTATAAGAACGAACCATACAAAACATTATCATCAAAAGTGTCAGATTTACCATTAGAAGAATTGGTTTTTAACAACAAACAACTTACTTGAAGATCGAAATGAGCCAGAGCCACGATTGTGTAGGTATTGCTATGAAGAAACATATAGCTGCAAATGCCCACACAACAACCACAATACCAGCAGCAAGTCTGGAGACTTTTTGAAGTCCTCGCTGAGAGAGTAAGTCACTAGAAATCATCAGGAAAAAAAGATAAAGAAGCAACGCAAACATTTCAGATAACGGAAAAAAAAACTTTCATTACTCACTTCATAGATAAAGATCTGAAAGAGTGTAAGAGCTGTCATTACAACTGCATGGATTGAGAATGCAACATCATTTGCAGCCACAGGTATCATCTGAAAAAATTAGGACAAAAACGATAACAAAATGAATCATAAGAATGCCAAAAACTAAACCATCTCGATCAACTCCAACAACAAACCCATATATTCATGAATCGAACAACATACTGAAAGAAACAATATTTTCTGTCACAGAATTCAACATTGACCTCATACAAGAATATGTTAACTTTGCAAAGGAACAGACTTGTATTTTCATTTGACTTCATTAACTAAGAATTGAAGAGAAGCAAAGAACCTCTCTTAACTCTAAAATCAAGTTCATAGATGACAAATCTGGGGATACGAGTCACCAAAAGCAAAACGTCAATCATCCATTTTAGAACAGAAACAAGACTAATCTCCAAGATTCCAGACTAAAACAGACTGCTCGATGGAAACTTCCCTTCTATTTTCATTTTTGACTTCATTAGCTAAGAATTGGAAAGAATCAAGGAAGTCAACTCTAAAATGAAGTTGAATAATTCCACAAGACTGGAAGAAGAGACAATCTAGGCATTATGAGTCACTAAGAACCAACTCTAATCATCCATCTCACAACACAAACAAGACTAATTTCCACACTAATCCAGACCCCTCAATACTAAAATGCTTGGAGAATAAGACCAAATGCAATATGAATAGCAGAGAGAAGGAAGAAGGAAGAAGAAAGAGACCTCTTTATCGCCATAAGTGTCGAAATACTGTTTCTGAATAACTGGACTAAAGTAGAGGCAGACGTTGTAGATCATATACGACGAGTGCTTTGTCAAATTCAACAACACGAAGTCGAAATTCAATCCAACAACACTTTCACACAAAACAAAAAGCAATCAATTTCAGCTTCCAACACAAAGAAACCCAAAAAAAAAAAAAAGTACCTTTTTCTGCGGAAATTCAAAATCAGCTGCGGGTAAAAGCTAATCGACCACGAAACAAACGCGATCCATCCAACGATTTCGTATGAGATCTCGAGCGGAATTGAATTCCACGAAGCCATTTTTTTTATCTCCGTTTTTTCTCGATCGATCGAATTTTTTGGATCCTTTTTTCTAAAAAAAAAAAAAATTTGTTTGGAGATTGACGACGAAGAAGAGAGGCTTAAAACAAAATACTATTGGGAAATGGAATATGAGGAAGTCAGTTTCAAAATATGGGACCCATATGATGACGTGTCATGATCCTATGACTCGAGCATTTAAAGATGGTGGATTATTAATGAGACTTTCTCTGAACCTAGCCGTCTTTACGGGTCCGTTCGTGTTTATATCGGCGACCGGGAAAAACGACGGCGTTTTAGTGGTTCCTATAGATCTATCACTTACTTCAACGTTGTTTGGATTTATCATATTCTTTTGCTGTCATTTTTCTCCTACTTATGTTTGTGCGGTGACTGACTTGATATCAATGCGTTGATCCTGTGTAGCTAGCAAAAGGGATAAGACCACTCATGAAACTAGCATGTACTGCTGCTGCACTCGAGAGAGTTCCTCTTACGCGTACAAAGATCATTGCACCAAGGTCAAAGACAAAGATGTACAAAGGTCATTGACTATATACATCTTACTTCAACGATGCTCAGAGGCAATAACAGCAGCAATGGGTTTGTCCATGATTTTGGCAACATTGAGACCAGCAATAACATCGGTATCCTTGCTTGCTTGCCTCTGTATCGTTGAAGTAACAACTGTATGACATTGACATTGACTAAGTGCATAGTTGTACAAGTATGACATTGACTAGTGAAAAATGAAAAAGATAACCTAGC